AAGAAAAAGGATGGAGAAGCCTTAGGAAACCAGATTCGAATAAGGAAAGAATTTCAAGGTGAGAGAGCTTTGTGATCTTTTGGCTGCTGAAAAATGGTTCTCTCCTTCTAGGGTTTTTCTATTTGGTTTATATGTGATGATTTTGAGAGGTAAAAAGCCTTTATCGTGGTTAAAAACAGCATGGTTAGTTTTTTTTTGTGAAAATTGAAATATGGAGGGTGGTACACGCATGGCATGATTTTTAGGATGGTTTATTGGTGTCCATTTGGTGGTTGCAGATAGTCAGTGAGTGGAATCATGGAGCACAATCTTGTTGAGCAAGTTTTTGGCTCATTTGTCATTTTTCCATTTCTTGCAAAAATTGGCCATTAAGCATGAAAAAGGTACATGTAATGTTGGAACTTTTTAGGCAATGTTTAGGACACACCCTTGGCACATGATGCGTAAGGAATTGATGACAAATGAGTTGATGCAAAAGATGTTGCAAGACCATTACTAAATCATGCCAAGAACATCAATTGGAAACTCCTACTTTCCAAGAGCAAAGCTTGATGAATTTAGCTCCAATTGAGACATTCTTAAGATTAATGGAAAGCATGGAGATTGAAGAAAAACATTTATGTTGATGGCAACTTGAATTGAGACTTGGAAGATCATGAAAAGTTGACTTGAAAACATGTCCACCAATATGCCATAAAAGAAAGCTTAGAAAAAATCTAAGTCATGGAATTTGGCAACTTGATGACATAGACTTTGATGCTTCATATCTTGAGGAGTTTTGGTTCAATGAGAGAGTTATTGTAGTGGATGAAAAGCTTGAAGAATATTATTCAACTTTGATGTTCAAGGGAAGTTGATTTGAGGTCAAGAATTTGGTGAAAAATGCATTGGAAAGTTGTTCCAAAAATCTGCCTAAAATTTGTCCCACTTGACATCTTTGAAACCCTATCTTGGAGACACCATAACTTGAGTTCTACACATCCAACAAAAGAGTTCTAGTACTCAAAAGAAATCTTGGAGAATGCTCTACAGCGTTCATGTTGGAGGAAAATTCATTTGAATCTTATATCACCATGAAAGATTGGATTGAAAACATGCACCTCAAGCTGAATTTCTATACTTAGAAAAAATTCTAAGTGTTGAAATGACAAAACCTGTAGTTTCTCAAATTTAGCTCTGCATATCGCTCAATCTATGGATCTTTTTGACTTTCTTTCTTGTACAAACTTTTAGTTCATGATGTCCTCTTTAATTTGATAACAAGTTTTCTCCCATTGGATCAAGGATGAGAAAGTTATGGATGTTACAAAATGGCTAGAATTAGGGTTCTCTACACTTGGAAAATATTTCAACAAAAGCCTAATTCAATCAAACTCTTGATTTTATATTTCTCCTTGATTTTTCTTGTTCCAAAGATATGAAAACGCTTGAGAACACATAGCATACCCTTGGTTGACCTTGAAATTTAAGACTTTGACCCCGTGAAGTCACAGTTGACTTTTCTTGATCAGATGAAACCCTAGCCTTTTCCATTGATTGAAGCTCTTGCCATGACTTGTGATGGTACATAATACATGTAGAGAAACCTCAAGATGTGTATTGAACCTTAGAATCATGCCTTGCCTAAGAAACTAGCCATAGACGCCCTTTTAACCAAAACCCTAATCCAGTTAGTCATAAGATAGGAGGAGGTGATCAATGATTGTAGCCTATATTCAAATGGTTGTGAGACATGCCTTGATGATGAGAGAAACCTGTGGCTTGAGAATACCACAAAGTTGATAATAGACCCTTGCTTGAACTCTGAGAACCATGTTCTTCTTCTTGAGTATTAAACAAGATATCTTGATCCTCTACCTAGAACCAAAGTTATGCACAAATGATATACAAATGAAATGAAACATAAGACAAGAGGTTAAGAAAAAGGGTGGGCAAGTTTTGGGGTGTTACACCTTCACACGATGAATTACAAAATTTCTATGAATTAAGAGAATTGTCTGAATCTTTCTAGAAAATGTTCGAAACAAAAAAAAACTAATTGTATCTCTAAAAAGCAAGGCTAATAACACTAATGTTGTAACACCCACAAACAATATATGTCTAGAATAATACATATTATACATGGTGCAATATTTGGTACTGAAACATACATAAGTTCCTAGTTACACATTATACTATTACATGTCTAAAATAACAAAAATACTAAAAGTGGCATAAATATATACAAGATGTCCCAAAAGTACTAAGAGGTAGATCACAATGATAATCTCAAAACAAAGTGTCAGCAGCGGTAAAACCCAACCAACAGTTAATATAAGCAAGGACATAAAAACACTTAGTCTTTACCTGAGGCGAACGTTCGCCTGCTGCTCGCATTACAGGACTGTCATGTTCGCTGGCTATTCGCTGAGGTTCGTTGTGCAAACCATGCGTTCCAGCACTTCTCTTCAGCATGAAACATGTTTTTCAAAGGGGTTTTGAACCTCACTCTTCCAAAGGCTCAAGAAAAGTAGAATAAACACAACCACAACATTAGGATAGCTTAAAGATCATGAACATAACATGAATCATGAATATGAAGATAAGATAGAAAAAATGTCAATACCTAATTTTCTCTCATTTTAACCAAAATACTCTAACCTTGAGTTTCTACCTAGAACTCACCTATAGATGATGAAGATGAAGTTCTTGATGATGAAGATGAGATGATTTGGTGAAGGAATGGTGAAATCCAAGCTTTTCCTCTTCTAGGGTTCTTCTTCCTCTTTCTGTCTTTTCTCCTTCTTCTTCTCTCTAACTTCTTTCTATCTTTCTATTTTGTTTCTCCAAATGAAAAGAAAAGAGAAGGAAAATTTATGTAAGGGAAAATATTGTTTAAAAGTTAGTAACACTAACTTTGATTGTCCAATATTGAGGGTATCTAAAATGTCTCTATTGTACTAATTAATAAAGCCTCGGAGTCGAATAATATTAATTATAGTCTTTTATTTAATATGGGGTATTACAAATGTGGAATTAGAGAAGGTATAAAATTCTAAATGTAATAAATGTCAAGAGCGTGAATCTAAAATTGTTGAACTAAAGCAAGTAATAAACAAATCTGAAAAATGTCAAATTAATTGAGAAGATGTGCTAGGTAAACAAATATCTTCTAATAACAAATGTGTGATTGACTTTTCTAATTTTTTGATAAACCAAATATAAAGGGAAATATAAATATGAAGATTCAACTGATCCTTCTTCTCCTTCTCCTCCTTAACAACTTGAAGTTATTGCACCAACAAACTAGATAATTAAAGATTTAATGGATCAAGAGTTCGATAAAATGGATCTTCAATTTACTAGCTTGGGATAAGATATGGTTGGGCTTTCATTAGAAAAGAATCTTTTGGAGACTTTTCATAAGGGAGAAGGACATGATAACATGAAGCAAGACAAAGGATTTGATTAGGATTTAATATATTATATTTAAGTTATTTTTCTTAAAACTTCTTTAGTATCTTTGTATTGGTTTAGAATTTTTTGGTTGTTTTCTATATTAAGCGTGTTTGATTTGTTTATGCTTAAGTTTAGTACATTTTATCTTTAGTATCTATGTTATGTTTGTATATCGTTATTCTTGAAATTTCTTCTACGTTTACCCAATTTCTCTTCTTTTTGATAATGTCAAAAGAGGGAGAAGGTTGTATATGTTTGTATTTTCTTTCCTCTATTATATATAGGTACATCAAGAATTTTTAAAGTATCTTTAAGTTGAAAATTCAAAGGATATGGATTAAGGGGGAGACATTCAACCTACGAGAAATATTCTGGAAAAAAACTCACAAACATCAAGTATTAATTTTTCATCATAAAAAAGGAGGAGATTGTAAAGTCAAGTTTCTAGATGAATCATATTTTGATAAAGACGAATGTGTAAAAGAAGGAAAATTTGATCATGCCCAAGTCTTCAAAGTCGAAGAAATCTCATGTATTTATTTTTCGGTACAAGAGATTTTTCTAACTATGCTCTTACACGGTAAATTTTGTTATAATTTTTTAAAGACGAGAGTCAATTGGATTTTTTTTACATATTACTTTTTTCGTTGGACATTATTGTAGTTGATTTGAAGATGTTTTGATTTAAAGATCCTCCAAGACCCATCAGAGGGGATCCCTGCTTCGAGGGATTTAAATTAGTATATTATTGTCAAGTTTGATTAGGTAATATAAATTATTTGTATTGTATATCTATCATTTTTATGTGATGTTCGATTCTTTTAGAATTTCATTTAGTCTAATTGCCCTAACCTTGTGGTATTTTCTGTCAGAGGGTAAGAAGTAAATTCATTGCAATTCATTGAAAATTAGGATAAATATTTTACATTTTACACCCAATATACTTAAAAAGTGTGTGAATTCTTTGAAACAAGTGTAAATATCTAATAAATATTTTACATTTTAACCCAGTATATAACAATTGCGATTATCACATATATGTTAAATAATATATGGATGTAAGACTTGATATTGGATATTTGAAATTTATTTTGATGGAAGAAAATTAATAGTAGGTCAAATATGTAAAAAAAATAATATTAATATTAAATGCTAGGATTGGATTTGTTTGCTTTAGTCAAAAATATTATTAATAATTAAGTATACTCGAATGTTAAAATGGTAAAAGTACTTGTTTGTTAAAATGCTAAAAATAAATAATATTTAATTTTATATTTAGTTTCATACCATTTTCTCATTACCTTCTATTTCCCTTGCATTCTGAAACCCCTATAAATATCACTAACAAAAAATGAATGGTAAAAATTATACAATTTGATATTTTTTTTCTCTTAGCATGGCAGAGAGGTAAGTTTCTCATCACCCTTTTAATTGTCAATCATTAAACATGCGTCGTAATTTGCATGCTATCATTTGCATGCGTCGTAATTTGCATGCTATCATTTGCATGCTTTCACATCCTAACGCATTTATTCTTTCTTTGTTTTTTTTATAGTGTGGCAATGAAGAGGAAAAGCGACCAACTCCCTTCTGCTAAGGCTGAGAAAAGAGCTAAAGAAAAGGCTGAGGAAGAAGAAAGTCAAGAATTTGGTTGTACGTTTGAGGATCTTCCATCGCCAATTATTACTGACATTCTGCTTCAACTTCCCCTCAAAACTATTGCGACTAGTAAATGTGTTTGTAAAACTTGGAACACGTTGATTTCAAGTCGATATTTTGCTAATCAATTACTGCTTGAAAGACCATCATATAGCTACACACCCTCTAGTCACTATTACAAACATATTTGACTTTTTAATACATTTAACAATTAATGTATCTGAAATTTGTAGTTTCTTACAACAATTTTCTGAAATTTATATATCTTAAGGTTAACATGTTTCATCAATATATTGCGCATACAATTAAGTTACATGCATTGCTTATATATTCCTTTATATTTGAAAGAATGGCTGATCACAGGAACAGACTACTTTTTATCATAGGAAAAAGTATCTGGTGAAGAAAACTTATTTGTCTTATAGTTAAAAAAAAAATCTTTCATTTTTTGGTGGAGCAATTAATTAAGTTTTCACTGTTTTAGATTTTTTTTAATCTAGTCTTGATTTGTCGTTTTCAAATTCTATTATATATTTTATATCTATTATTAAATGTTTAAGTAGTTTTTTTAACAATAATGTCTCAACAAGTTTTATATGACACTTTGTTATGAACTTGATTTTTTAAATATAGAATCAATTATAATAATTTATTTTGTTTTTTAAATAACTCAAAAAGTTGTAATTTATTTTCAAAAGGCTTAATTTAATCTTTTTTTTTTTCATTTTTTGACCTACTATTAATTTTCTTCCATCGAAATAAAAGTTATATTTCTAAATTTAAAATATTTAAAATCAATATTTTTTAAACAAAAATTACAAATAATTACAATCAAAATCTTCAAATATTACAATCAATATTATCGTCAAACGAGGAGTCCCACGTAAGAATGAAGATTATTAGAAGTAGTTTCAACAGCTTCACCAGAAGACTTACCGACCTCCTACCAATGTACCCAAAAAAAAAAGTGGATGTAACTTGAAAATTAGAGGGGATCGAATCAACCAAGATGGAAGTTAGTTGATCCAAAGATAGGATTTCCTAACTAGAAAAATTACAATGTGTCGGAGGTGTACCCCATGTCCCTCAAAACTATAAGTGCAAAAATCGAATGACGCGAACTCAATGAATGTGTCATCATAAGAAAAAGAAGTTTGAACGTGAAGCCTTTGGGTCGAATACTCTAAAGCAACCATTCACAAGGAAGATGAGTGAGGAGGACCAAAAAATAGCTGATCATAAACTATCTTTATGAATTGCACCTTTAGAAAAAGATGGTGTCAATCCATTGGTACCCTCAGTTCGTCTACCTCTAGAGAAAAAGTCTCATAATTTTGTTCCTCAACTTGATGATGAAATGGTGGATGAAAACTTCGACTCGAGATCTGAGAATGATTTATGCTGGGAGAAAAGCTCCTCGTGAAAAAAGTGAAATTGATAGGAGATAAACCCCTCACAAAGCATGTTTATATTTTAATATTTTTATACAACATTTCTAGGGGTTAAATTCCTTGTAATTCTTTTTTAAAATTCTAAAAGAGGGAATTAATGAGTTGGATTGCGCGGAAAAAAATTCTAGTCGTTCCGACGTGTCTGTCTCCTCATAATTTTGCGAGAAGTTTTGCACTTCGCATTGTCCATGTGTTTTGACGCCTGTGTTGTTCCTCTAGTTACATGTCTTATCACTATATTGCAATGAGTTCTACACCCCATAAAATTCAAAATTAAGCTTAATTGCGAGGAGATATACACGTTACAAAATTTCAGTATTAAGTATCTCACGTCTCTCCACTCCCCTACACCTTCTCTTTATTTGTTATGAAATTTCTTTTCCTCTTCTCCTCTATCTTATTTCTGAAACACATTTTCTACTACTATAAATAATACATTTCTTGACAATTTTTTTGCCCCAGTCAATTAAAAATTGAGATTAAATGACAAGGAACGCTCCATTTTATTTATTTTTTAAAATTAAATCTTATACCTCAGTTTTGTAGAAAATGGACCAAAAATTTAGATCATGGTTTGAGCTTCGATTTCTAACTCTTGCAATTTCGTACTTTATTTAGAACCAAAATGGAGCCCTTATTTTATAAATCATCTTATCCCTCAGATTTCTAGAAAAATGACATGAAATGTTGATTAATATTTTATTCAATTAAATTGAATCCAGCTTTTACCTCATATTTTATATCTTTGTTTTTTATAACAAAAAAATGAGATATAAACTCTAAACAATATTTCATTCCGATATCAGAATGTTAAATCTCCTTCACTTTTTATTATTTCTCATAAACGTTTTGCGCCCTAGCGAATGAAAAAAAACATCATTCATCTTCTCCATCTAACAAACTGAAACAACATTCTTCAACTTCTCCACCTAACAAAGTGAAACAACATTCTTCATCTTTTATAAGAGAAAATCATTGTAGACATATAATTAATGACCCAAATAAAGTAGAACATCATTTTCACGAGAAAGGATTTTATGAAAAATTATTGGATTTGAACATCAAACGAAGAAGAAATACCGAATAATGTACCAGAGATTACTACTACATAGGCTCCAAGCACTCGATCACATAGGAATATGAAGAATAATTTAATCTAATCGACGACATAGTTGGTGATGCTTTTAGGGTGAAAGTGACTTATAATGAACTTCAAGATTTTGATGAGGAATAACTACCAAATGAGAAAACGCAGAAATTTTATCAATTGTTGGAAGAAATAAATACACCCTTGTTTGAGGGTTCTTCGTACTCTAAATTATCAATGTGTGTGAGATTATTGGCTGTCAAATCTAATTTGATTATTCCCGCTTAGTGTTTAGAATTCTTTGCAAAGGTGTTGGTGTCAAGTTTGGGACACGTTAGAAGTAACACATGAAGGCACAGTAGAGGTAAAAAGATTCAAACTAAATACTTTATCACAAGAATATAAATTGTTTAAAATGCAGTCCGGTAAATCAATTCTTGATTTTCATAACAAATATTTTGATGGCTATTGAAAAAACATTTACAAATGATGATTTGAATCTCAAATTCTTTATACCATTGACAAGAGCATGGCAACCAAAGGTGACGACAATATAGGAAAAAAAGACTCTCCAAAATGTCTTTGGTCACATTGTTCAGTAAACATCAAGAACATGAAATAGAACTTGACAGGCTAGAAAAGCTTGAAAATCCATAAAAGAAACATTAAAATTTTGCCTTAAAAATTAGAGTCAAAGACTATGATAATAAATAAGATAATGAACCGCGTTCCACTAGTGATAAAGATGATGTACTAATCAAGAAATTTTAAAAACTCTTAAGAAAGGAAAGGAGAGACAAAATTAGTCAAACAATAGCACTAATTTCAAAAAGAAAAGGTTAGTTGTTTTGAATATGGAAAAAGAGGACATGTCAAAACTGAATGTACTACACTTCTAAAATAGAACAAATTTAATATAAATAAGGATAAAGGCCAAAGAAAACATATATGGCATGGGATGAGAACGAGATAGGTTCGTCTTCAAATAAAGAGTAAGCAAACATGGTATTAATGACTTCACACCATTCTGATGGTGAAGAAAATGAGATTTATTATTCTAAAATTAATGATATACCTTCATAGATGAACTACAAAATTATTCTATGAATTACACGATAAATATTTGAATCTTTCTAGAAAATGTTCAAAACAAAAGAAACTAATTGTATCTCTAGAAAGAAAGGTTAATGAAACTAATGAGGAATTAAAGAAGGCGAAAAACTCTACATTTAATAAATGTCAAGAGCATGAATCCAAAATTGTTGAACTAAAGCAAGTTATAAAGAAATATGAAAAAGGTCAAATTGGTTTAGAAGATGTACCAAGTAGACAAATATCTTCTAATAACAAATGTGGTCATGAATTTTATATTTTTTATGAACCAAGCACAAGTAAAATCATCATTTTTAAAACTATCAGAAAATTCAACAATGTGGAACCAAAGAAAGTGTGTGGTGCAATTCATTCTAAGAGTCCTTATGTTAGAAATGATTCTCATTTCTATAAAAAAAAGGATCATGTTTTTAGACCTACATATTTTTATTGTAATACAAAAAGCCACACTCTTAGTGTTTGCTACATAAAAAAAGATTATGATATTCCTTATCATGAATATGTATGGGTAAGAAAAGGAACTAACTCAATAAGAAAGTATTATTAATTGTTTTTGTAGGTACTTGAAGACCATACGTTAATATTGTCAAATTAATTTTTGTTTTTCAAAGATAAAACAAGAGCATATGGCATGGTAAGATGAAAGTTTCATTTGATTGAAAATAATTCGAAAAAGATTGAGATCTTTAAAAAGCATCAATATTGGCATCAAATCATTGTGAAAAAGATAAGAACTTTTTCATCTGATGTTATCAGTAGCATGATGAGAGCTTGTTATGAACCTATCATGAAAACCATCACATATCTTGATGGAGGGAAATACAAATATGTAGCTTTAATTGATACTTATTCTCCTTCTCCTCCTCAACAACCTGAAGTCATTGCACCTAAAAACTAAATGGTTATAGATTTAATAGATTAAGGGTTTGATATAATGGATCTTCAACTTAATATCTTGGGACAAGATATGGTTGGGCTTTCATCAAGAAAGGATCGCCTGGAAGCTTTTCATAAGGGAGAAGAACATGATAACATGAACCAAGACTGAGAATTTGATTAGGATTTGAGATATTATATTTAAGTTATTTTATTTAAAACTTCTTTAGTATCTTTGTATTGGTTTTGATTTATTTTGGTTGATTTTTATATTATGTATGTTTGGTTTTTTATGCTTAAGTTTAATATATTTGATCTTTAGTATCTATGTTATGTTTGTATACATTTATTCATGTAATTCCTTCTACTTTTATCCGTTTTTAGCTTCTTTTTTGACAATGTCAAAAGAGGGAGAAGGATGTATATGTTTGTGTTTCCTTACCTCTATTTGATGTAGGTATATCAAGAATTCTCAAAGTAATTTTAAGTTGAAAAATAAAAGGATTCATGGATTAAGGGGGAGACATTCAACCTAGGGAGAGTGTTTTGGGAAAACTCACAAACATCAAGTATGGATTTGTCATCATCAAAAAGGGGGAGATTGTGAATTAAAGCTTCTAGATGAATTATATTTTGATTAAGGCGAATATGTGAAAAAGAAGGA